GTGACTCGGCAAAATGACTGCACCGCGCCTGATGGAAAGTGCGAATACAGTCCAGAGATGAGAGTAACGGATGGAAAACACAAATATCTTCACTCCGTCACAAAAAGTGTATTTTTCAGCTGCTGACCGTACTCATTATTTAAATCTTGTTGCAGGAGGTCTATTCCCGTTCTCCGTCCGAAATCCGTCCAAAACAATAACAGTCAAATAAATCTGTGGCTCTAGTGAAAAGGGGTACAAGTCAAAAAAGACAACTTTACAACTTTTCACAATTTTGTCTTTGTGAAAAGCATATATATTTGAGTTTACGTTTAGTTGGAATATCGGTACATTTCTTATAGTACACGCTTATTTTCACATTTGTTGTAATGTTTGTATGTATGTATATGCCCAACTCTTTATTATTTCTGTAAGTGAATTTGTACAAAATTCGACATAATAATATACATAAAAAAATTAATTAATATTTACGAGAAAGACTATTCCATTACTCTTGTGTTCAAGTAATTTTCAGTCGAAGCTAAATATGGTGCATTTTGTTTCGTTTCCAGTAGAAACTGAATATGGCGTTTTTGGGCCCTTAAATTGTTACAAGCAAAATTAGGCAGTACTGCAATGACATTACATATTAAATTAAATGTTTTAGTTTTTTGTATTTTATTTTGTATATGTTAACTTCGGGCATTTTTTCGTGGTTTTTGTATTAGACCCGACGTCCATTTGTTGGTAGGTCAATGCTTGATAGTCATAGTCTTTTGTCTGTTTTCGTGAAAGGGAGTAGACCCCTGATCACAGTCAGCAGCTGAACACAATTAAAGGAAAATCTTCATGCCGTCAATATATAATTAATAGACGACGAGTACGCGTGATAAAGTTAGTTTTACCCGTTTTTGCTTAGTACTACCCGCTACTCCTCTCACTGTGGCCAAGACACCTTTAGCCATCAGTAGATCGGTCTTGTGAGTCTGCTTGACCGGCAGTGGGAATACCATTCCAGTACACATTGCACGACGGTGTACTTCGTTACCTCCTTCCAACCTTCCGTTTGTCACCTTAGGTCTCATGGTGACAGACTTCCCGTTCATATCTTGCATATACATTTCTCCGTCTATATATTTATGGTTACGTTAGGCTGTAAGGCTACACTATTAGATAAATTCATTGGGACGACCGTTAGGGTTAATAGGGGAGTTTATATTTTTATCTTAACTTTATCATAATTTCATGCACAGCAGGCGGTTGGTATTTTCTGTATGCAACACCACACACTACATTGTCAGACAAGCACTACCACCACATTAATACACAACCGCACGCTGTTCAATTATCAAATATGCATATATTTTATAAAACGGAGGGCTAAGATGCGAGCCTTGGGGTACACCCGGAGAAGTATTAATAAAATCCGACCTGAATCGTCCCAATGCTACAGCTTGGGAATGATCAGCTAAATAAGAGAGTTAAGAGCTAGCACCGCAGAAGATTCCTAAGGCTTGTAGTTTATTCGGCAGATTATCTTGGTGGAATTTGAGCTAGATATATACAATTTTCTTAGCAATTAGTATGTTTAGAATTGCGATGACATAATTCTCTACCGATATAATTCGGTGCTTTTATTATAAATCCTGATTATACGAGCCCTCATTTCAGGAAAGACTTCCTAGTATACAAAGATCCTTCACAGTGTCGTGGCACACAGCTTATGCGATAGGACCTTTCAAAAACAAGAAACAGTGTTGGTCTGGACAGTTAATACAACTTAAATCGTCAGATTTAAGTTAGACTAACGATGTTTGTTTTGTTCCGGTGAGCCCGTAGTCTAGATGGGTGGGTAGATAGGGACATGTTTGTTGGAACAATCGATGGCGAGAATAATAATAATAACGCGTACACACTCGTAGTCCCGTAGTAGGGAAACCCTGTATCACGAGTACCACGGATACACACACAATCAACCACAACTCACGAGAGTAATAAATTTAGGCCATATTTCTCCCGGCCCGGGAATCGAACCCGGGACCTCTACGTGGCAGCATGGTAACCGTTCGGCCACAGAGGCAGTTGAATGAAAGCAAGCAGATGTACTCACGGAAAGTGAACTCCTGCGAGCGTACAGCATGGTGCGCGCCGTCAACGAGCGCACCGGCTACGGCGGCCAGGTCGTGCGGCGCGTCAGCGCGCAGCGCCCGCACCAGCAGGCCGGCCGGCGTCCCTGCGCGTACGCCCAGCACGGCCGCGCCCCCTCCGCCGGCCGCCCCTCCCCCGCGCCGCCACCACGCCAGGCGCGTGGCGGCCAGGCCGAAAGCCTCCGTCGGCGTGCACCACGCCTCCGCTGACCACGGCGCCGCCTCGTACAGCCTCGAATCAAATACCGTACAGTTCGTCGACGACCGTAATGAAAAAAAGAGTTCGTCCCGGGTAGTACTGCTACCTTAACTATTTCTGCCGCCAAGCAATAGTGTCAGCATTACTGTGTTTCGGTTTAGAAGGGACTTGTCAACTTATGTCTCAGGGTGACGGGCGGATCTTTGCGATTTAAAGCTCCGAGTGGCACTGCAACTGTTATGGACAGGCGTGTAGACATCAAGCGTACGACTTGTTGGTCCTGTCACTTGGTATTCTAAGAAAAAAAAGCCCTTATGCACAGACGATTTCTCGTTTCGATCGATCGCCACGTTAACGACATAAAAATATACTAGCAACTAGTTTCGATCTGTCCGAACGACGAATTGTGAAGACAAATCGTCCTGTATATGAAGGCCTTAAAGCGCTCATTTACTTGATCTACTTAATTAAATAAATTATAAAAGATGTATGCTCACAATAATACTTAATGATTATAACAAGCCATCCCGAAATGTTTGCTTGGTACAAAACAAGACCATCTTCGCAATATATTATCAAAATCACACAAATCTAAATGTTCAAACCGGTAATAACCTATGAAGATTATTACCCTTTTAGATTGCTACAAACTTGTTTTTGAAACAAGTTTAATTATCACATGTAATTAACACTTGCATATCGCTATTTTTCAAGAACAGTGACACAAACCAAAATAGTTAATTTGTCTTTATAACACAGCTGCATTCAGAATATTTATTATTATATATTATTAAGAATGAGGTAAATTTTTATTGTGAAAAAGAATGCTCCGAGGTTTTCATTGGCTAAAATAAACAAGAGACAACATGACCGGCGTATGATTCGTCGGCTTTGCACGTCGTTATTGCTTCAGTTGTTTCTAAACCATAATCCCAACGACTTGACTAGGCTGCATGATCCAAAGATCTTTGCCTTTCCACAAGGAAAAGTACTACATAACATAAATAATTTGAACAACTCGACTGTATTTTTTTCTTTTACTTAATTTGTTTTTTTTAGTCATATAATTTATATAAATAGCCAGCAGAAAGCCTCTGGGTCATAGCAAAATGATTATATTGTGCAACTAATAGAGACTTTACCAGGGGCTTTACGTTAATTCCCCAACTAAGGACAAATATCATTGGTAAATACTCAATATTATCTATTTGCCTAGCTCATTCGTAATAGGTATATACTGTCACGTCTGTCCACGGTACTACGGTACTGATACTCTTTGACAAAATTCAACTATCACTATTGATAGTGTTTTGTTTGAAAGTGTTTGGAACATGTAGCGGCTGTGAATGTTCTTGTATATAGATTGATGTCGTTGCATATTCCTGAAGAATTAATTGATTTTGAGATAGGTCACTATTCTAGAAAGCCAAAGATATAGTGAAGGAAAACATCGTAATGAATATGTATATATAGATTCATGCGACTCTTGATAGAGGTGTAAAAAGTACCCAACCGATGTTGAGTAAGCGTGGTGGAGTATGATCGAAACACTCTCCAAATCCGTAAGCATTGAAACGTATAGAGATTGATTTTAACATATAAATTACCTCAATTCGCGGTCTGTAATAGCAACGAAGGTCGGTTGCCAGCCGTCCGCTTCTTCAGAACTATCTGACCCGCCCGATGCACTTATCTACAATATATAAACAGTACATTTATTTAACTGAATATTACACATTAATTTTGCTATGAAATTCACTTACACAATAAAAAATCACAATCCTATCACACCTCAGAAACAGAACGCAAAAAAAAACACTTCCTTGTGCACACAAAACACAAAAACTTAAATAACTTTTGAGCTATCAATTTCCAGACCCCAATGTAGTAGTCAAATTGACTGGGAATGTTCAACCCTACCTCCTGTTTTGTTTTGACCATCACTTCCGGGCCACCTTGTAAACCAATTAGTACACTGTAGACATTGACCTACTAAAGGTCATGACTGTAGAGTAAAAATTTGCATAAGGAACTGCTTGTAAGTCATACAAAGCTGTAGCATAGACGCATAGCGACAGCATATCGACGTTAAGCTCCCAATGATTTTCATAGTCAACTCTTGGGATCCTACACAATCATCTAACCCAGAGAGTTTGCAAACTTTTCCGTCTCGTAGACCACACGGCATTTCTTTTTTTATGTAGACCCCCTGCCTTTCTAATAATATTTTGTTTACATTCATCAACTTCAATAAATATGTGTTTGACAGCTGACAATGCTAGAGATACTATAAAAATTGATGCCAAATTTTACACATTTCTCTAACTGAATATATTGTTTGTAGTGAAATGTTGAAGAATAAGTTATATATTTACATAGGTACTAATCTATGTGATGTGATTTACACGTCAAGTTTATTTTTAATAAAACAGTGATGTGATTATTTCATGGAAAGCCACAATTTTGGTCACAAATTGCCTAAAAAGGTTCCACTCTCATGGAGCCCCATTAATTTCTCATACACCCTTATTTATTATTTATTTAAACATAAACCCTTGTAGGTTGGAGTGGACCTTTGGGGGTCGATCACTTTGGGAACCGCCGGTCTAAGCCATTAACAAAGAATATAAAACGTACCCCGACGTGCTCTTGGGGCGGGCGTCTTGCCAACCAGCCAGCGTATCTCACGTCGCCAATGATCGGGCGCAGCCTCGCCCTTGCGCGGACCAATGCAGCGCGTGCGGCGCGGCGAGCAGCTGCATGCAGCGCGCGGTGCCAGTTTGAAGCTGCGTTCGCGTCTGACGCGCGAAGGGCTAATGCGTGGACGCCATCCGGAGAATAAATTTCTATTGTGCGCTCCTCTGAAAATTGTGAACAACGATCTTAAAATCATAAATTTATTAACTATTCCACTTGAATATTTTCGATAAACCGTTCTTCAAGAACTGACACAAAATTACAATATAATAATAAAAAATGTGATTGTCTGTCACCCTATCTTTATTATATAAAAACAAGTAATGCTTCAAGATGCATCAATCAAAAATAAGAAATTAATAATGGTTATCAAACAATGTTCTCTCTCTTTTACATGGAAGAATATATAGTACACAACAAAAATCTACCACCAATTCAAAAAGCATCGCGAAGGCTTTAATACGTGTTCAGTATAATTTAAAGAAACATCTGTGTCTAATTTTACTCTTGCGCTTACCAGGATCATGATGCCGCAAATTTTTGGCAACACAAGCCATCAATAACGGCACGTAGCGGGTATCGGCGCGGCGGCGTCGGGGCGAAGGCGGCGAGGGTGGAGTCTCTGACATGTAGCCACGCTGCAACTCCCAGCCTACCTCACTGATGATTGACGCTTTGCGGAAGTATGGGGTTACTTCTCGGAGGTATTTGACTGGAAGTTTAAAACATAATGTTCATGAGATTGCAAAATACACAGATCATCAAAAAATAATATTGTTCTGATAAACCTGACGTTATATAACAATGATAGACAAAAGAGGAGTTCATAGTTAGTTCTGTGTCAAGAGTTTAAAATAAATGTAGCAAGTGCTGTAACAGATCCAGACAGAGTAATGATATTTGGAGATATAGAATTTTTATTTATAATTCTTTGCACTGATTATAGGGTGTATACTTCCTATAACATGGATTCTATCCATTGTATTTGTCTAGTCATGAGATCCAAGAATGCCTTCAATTGTCTACTGTTATTGAGGAAGTATCTAGTGTAACTAAGGGTCGTATTCTAGAACTCTACTCAATGCCCAAGTCAGGATTGCACTGGAAATACGACCCTAATGGCAAGGACTTGTGTATGATTTTCAGTGCTCACTGCAATACTCAAGTCCTGACTTGAGTATTGAGTAGAGTTCTGGAATACGACCCTTAGTCCTATAAAGAAACAACATATTTGGGATTCAACTCACTGAGCAGCACAATTTTCCACATATCCAACATTGAAAGGGTATGCCTGACAAGTCAAAATACGTTAAACATTTACTGCTTATGTTCTTAAACTGTATGTTGGCAATACCATATTTAAAAAAAGGATAGACTCAAATTAACAAAAACAGTAAAGTTCGTCATTGAATACCTAGCCAATACAGAAAACCAATTTTTCTAAATTGGTGATCTGGGTGTTCTGGGTAGTGCCACTGAGTTAATTTTGTTACTTTATTACATAAGTACATAGAATTCCTGAGTGTGAGACCAAATATAATATGTGTGCTCATATGTAAACTGATTTTAAGATGACCAAGAGCGAGATAAAGCATGAGATACTGCTATTCTTGCAATGAGAACCCGCGCTTTATATCGCTCTAGCGCAAGTTGCGTTCTGTTGTGCTAGTCCTAATGGTGGTGAGTGATGCAGCTAACCATAAGATTTTTGTTTTTTTTAACACAGCAATGCTCACGCTACTGCTTGGTGACAGAAATAGGTACGTAGGTCCAATAAAGTTCAGCACTTTATTGGACGTATTCTTTCACTAGGGGCTCTAGTGCTACTAAAAAATACTTTCCACATCTGGGTTTGTCAATATTATAATGCTGTGAAACAAACATTCACATTTTCAACCTGTACATTATAACCATGCTATATAGTTTTTTTAATAATGTACCTGTTAATTACAACATTAGCAAGCCAATTATACAGAGTGATGATTCAGGAATACAGAAGTGAATGAGCTTTAAACAAGCACTTATTACAATGTATTATGAAGTACAGACCATGTGTAAATGTAATTGGCAGCCATCTAGTCAGATGGTGTTAATTAGTGGGTCACAGACATTAGTATTGCATGAGCAATGTTGCAACCTATTAGACATTTGTAAACAAGGTTTATGCTGAAATTCATTTCAAACTTGCTGTGTGGACGTAAGGATGGAAAAAGTAACTATTATGATTTTAAGCATATTGTAGTAATAACTAAATAAGGTCATTGATATTCAGACAAAATTTATTATGAGTCTATAAAGACCACAAAGACTATCACTATTGCCTGCCTATGTTATACTGCCTCCGTGCCAACGGTTACCATGCCAGACTGCCACAACGGCCGGCTGAAATATTTGTATTTGGCCGACATTTATTTCTCTCATAAGTTTGGGTGTAATTTGTGATTGTCTATGTGTGTCTCCATGACACCCGCAACACAGGGTTTTAGGGGGCTATGTTGAGTGTTTGCATTATTATATTATTGCCTTACAATGATAAAATAATCACTTTTGCACCAGATAAGTGACTATATTAACACTTCTTGTTATAAGTAAGACATTTGCGTTTTGGTAAATTATGATATTTTGGCACCAAACATTTTTTTTTTTAATTTAAATTACACTGACTTTGCTTAAAAAAAGAACTGGAACTAAATAAGATATAATAAAACCGCTTTTAGGGGTTGTCAATCTTTTTCCACAGAGTTGGGATATGTTAATAGCTCAATTTCGCAAAAAATGTCAATTACATTAGTTATGATATTAGCAAATATGTATGCGTACCAAAACAAAATTTTTTTTGTCACAAATTACCTTCTAGCTGCACCATTTTGCCAGCCCTCTTCAAAGCTTTCACTGCCTCCTCGTGAGTTGCATCCTTCAGATCCTCTCCATTCACAGACAAAATAGCATCACCCACATACAACTGTTCCGTCAAGTCTGCTGCCATGCCCTTGAATATTTTTGATATGAGAATTGGCATGTTATTCTCAATACCTCCCTTTATTGATATCCCTAGCCCATTATTGTCTGATTTTACCACTTGTACTATTCGTTTTTGGTTTGCAATCGCTTCTGGTACTTCAGTGAAATCGCTATTCGGCGTTTCCACATTGTTGTTGTTTAGTGTACCGTTTAGGGTGGTAGTGGCATCGTACCCGTCGTCTAAACAAACACTGAAGTAATCGTCTTCGAGTGAACAGTGCACTCTGTACCAAACACCGCGGACCAGCGTCTCCAGAAGCCCGGACCGCACGCTGGTCGCGCTGGGGCTATCGCTGCCCCCGCTAGAGGCCCCGTTCTCTACCATAGCTTCACTAATACTGCTCATCCACTACGAATAATACTGGACATCAATCGAGAACTATTTCCACACTGCGCAAGTCCGTTCCTCTACGAGGGATGTAGTGTAAGTGACCTGCTAGTAGCGTGTATACCACATGATTGTCGCCCTAATTAAAATAATATTATGAACACAAATTCGATTCAATTGTAAGATGTTATGAAAATAAATAGAAATTCATTGCACAATCAATACGAATTTGACTTTGACGTTTCTTACGCACTGCTAGTCTGTGGCAAACTAACAATGTTGTCATCTTTCTAATTTGTGATTTTGCCTGAAATCTTAATTTTTTTCCATCCTCTGTCTTATAGACACGACAACTTTTAGCAGCGATGTTCGTGAAACGCGCGATTGCATTGCTGCTAAAAGTTGTTGACTGTTGACAGTCGACTTACCATTGAAAACGGGGCAGTATGGTATTTGACCGAGGCCTGTCCTTTTTTGGACGAATATAACAAAAAAAAAGCAATAAAATGAAAATGGACATATTACTGCTTTTCGTTAATAGTGTCCCAATCCAAAATAGTTTATTTTATTGACATAATGCTGAGATTAATTCGAAAAATGCTTAATTTTATCGTGATTAGGACTCTAGCTTTTCATTGGTCAGAATAATCACATGACAACATAGGGTTGGTCCACGATTCGTCATCTTTGCGCAGTTGACTCTTTTCAGTTTTTTAAACTATATTCCTGACGAATTAAATGATTTTGTGACAGGACGCTATTCTGTATTCTAGAAAGCCGTCGACGGACATGGACAGTGTGAATTGAATAGTTCAATAAGTAGTCTATGGTGTGAATAAATATTGTGAATATCTCAATAAATAAAAAATTGCGAATGTGATTAGGGACACGGTGTCGAATCAAAAGTATCTATACTGTACTCATGAGTAGTATCGCCTTATAGCATACAGGACGGGAGGCGCTATTAACTTTGTTTCTCGAAGAAAGCTTTCTGCCACTTTTTGAGAGGGAATACTACAAACAAACAGGTGCACTCAAATACAATATTCAATTGACAACACTAGCTTATTTTTACAATTACACGGAAAAAAAGACATTCATGATGACATGAATGACATTCTGTGACGGCAATGAATCCGTACACAGAATAGGCCTATTAGGGATGTTCATTGAACATCGATGTATCGGTTCCATTCGATGTTTATCGTACGATACATCATATTTTTGAATAAAAACATCGAATCTTCGAAATCACTAACTCTGGCCGTGCCTCTGGTATTGTAATTTAGTGTTAGTTTTATTTATATTTATAATCCTTTATTTCATTATTCGATGAATGAATACTTGAATATGTATCGAACTTATTTGTCTATTTTAGACAGTTTACCTAATCGCAAAAAAAAAACATTCCTACAATAATTATTCTTGCGTAAAAACTTTTAATTTATATTAATTTGCAGTTTTTTTTCAACGTATGTGTTACCGATACAATACTAGTTTTTTGAACTTCCAACTTGGTTCTCTTGACCAGTACTACTAAACTACCACACAGTATCACAAAATTAAACGTCACTACAGCGACAGCACCACTCTATTAGTATAGTGTTACTCTGCGTTTACTGTTAAGCTAAGAAAACAAAAAGTATTCAATGTTGAAAAAACATCGATGTTTTTAAGCGATGCATTGAAAAATATCGACGCAAGGTTTGGATGTTATGCATCGAATGAAGACATTGGTGTATTTTTTTAGTGGACACCCCTAAGGCCTATAAAAATAAATCGATTCTCATGAAAATACTAGAGACGGAAGTTATTGAACTTAACGGTGTCGATATGTATTACGTACTGGTTAATCACGTATATAAAAAATCCACTCTTGGCTAGACTGGATGTAAAGGATTTATTTTTGCAATTTTATGTGCAGTGTAACAATGGTATTGTTTTACTTGTATTTTCCAGAGGAGATTGCCCATATAATATAATAAATACAATTCAAAGTTTAATCAAAAAACCGCGAAAAAATGTCCGGAGTTTTTTTTTCAGTTTGTGGCTTTTCACGGTCAGCGTTGGAGCCAATGGCAAGTATTTGTCATCCTGATAGGGCTGTTGACTTTTTCTACCAAAAAATATACGAATGTTTTAATCGATTTGTACCAATCAAAAAGCGTGTACAACGTGATACGCGATATGTATACCCAAAATGGTACACTCCAGAAATTATACGTAATCTAAAACATAAACACTTTCATCTTAAGAAAGCCAAGTCTGAGGGTAAAGAGTATGATAGGGAAATGTATAAATACTATAGATGGCACGTTAAAAAATTGATAAGTGATGCGTACCGGCAAAATATAAATAATTTGCAAAAAAGTATTTTTGATGAACCAGCTAAATTCTGGAGATATGTCAAAGACAAGCGAAAGGATAGGCGGGGTGTTGATGTCTTTTCCTATGACGAAGGTGAAGTGGCTGGGCAGGCTGCTGCCGACGCTTTTGCCCGATATTTCGGCTCAGTTTTCCAATTGAACCAGCCGCACTTGGACCCTGAAGAAGCTGCTCGCGCTGCTCATTCACAAGTAGGTGCTAGGGTTATTGCTGTGTTAGATGTGAGTGAGACTGATGTTATAACTGCTGTAAAGCGTCTAAAACCTCAAACTGCGGGGGGTCCGGATGGAGTGCCAATGTTTCTAGCAAAAGATTGTGTGTCAGCTTTTCGGGCTCCACTGATCTACATCTATGGCCTTTGTCTTGACTCTTCGATGTACCCGCAGTGCTGGAAGCTATCGTGTGTAACGCCAGTACCGAAAGGAGATGCAAGGGGTGACGTAACGCAGTACAGACCTATCGCGGTACTATCAGTGTTTGCAAAAATCTTTGAGTCTATCGTTAATAGGCACATTTGTAGGCAAGTGGATGGTCTGCTGCACAATAGTCAACATGGCTTTCGCAGAGCTCGTTCTACTACTACAAATTTGGTTGCGTTGGTGGACTACGTATCGGCAGAGATGGATGCAGGTCGCCAGGTTGACGCAGCATACTTCGATTTTAAAAAGGCATTCGACCTGGTGGACAATGACGTGCTGTTGGGGAAATTGGCGTTATTGGGCTGTACACCTAAGCTCCTACGGTTTTTTGCCAGCTATCTCGCGAATAGACGACAGTTCGTTAAAGTGCAAGGGTTTACGTCTACAGAATACTACACAAGGTCTGGCGTAAGTCAAGGAAGTACGTTAGGCCCAACTCTATTTTTAATAATGATTAATGACTTGCCCGATACCATTCGTAATGCTCGATGTCTTTTATTTGCTGATGATCTTAAGCTGTTCCTGGGTGTGAGGGATAGTGTGGATACAGCAGCCTTGCAAGCGGATATTGATGCGGTGGGTGAATGGAGTGTAGCTAATCGTATGCCCTTTAATAACTCTAAATGTAAAGTTATTACTTACACCCGTAAACGTTACCCAAGATTGCAAATTTATAAATTATTTGACGCCTGCATAGATAGATTTTATGACATTTGTGACTTAGGATTAATAATAGATAGTAAATTAGACTTTCACAAACATGTGATAGAAACCTGTAAAAAGGCGAATAAAACCTTAGGCTTTATTATACGGACTTCATATGAATTTAATGATGTAGTTGTGGCCAAGGTACTATATAATGCTTATGTACGCAGTACACTTGAATACGCTGCTATAATCTGGGACCCCCACGAGGACAAATACTCCACCATGGTTGAACGCGTTCAACGTAAATTTGCACGGTGGCTCTATCGACAGCAATACGGGTATTACCCATACCTGTATCCCTCGCTATTTGTTACAGGTATGGTGGAACTTAACTTGCTGTCTAGGAGGCGAAAGATGCTCCTCCTGGCATATTTCATTTCTGCATTCCACCATAAGATAGATGATGATGTGATTTGTAGAGTGGATCTACTGGTGCCCGTGCGTATGCCTTGGGTGGGGGTTGGGGAGGGGGTGGTGGCCCCGCGCCGCCAACCTCAGCTCTTGCGCAAGCCGGTCACGCGCACACTTTATGGTGCCAACGCACCTACCGTTCGTGCAATACTCCTGATTGGGGACATACTCGCTCGGTGTAGTCATGTTGACTTATTTGCTGATCGCGTGCAGTATATATGTAGAGAGATGAGTAAGTTCATAGAATAAGATTAAGAAACATTATTGTATAATTGACATAATAATAATTCATCTATAATAATTTTTGATTGACTGTAATAATTTTGTGAATTTTGACATTGTGTAGCATGTAAGCGTGTTGGCTGTATAGCTGTTAGCTTATTATGTAAGTGTAAATAAATAAATAAATAAAATAAATAAATAAATGGCCCGAGTTAACCAATAAAAACGTAGTGTAAATATAAAAAAACTAAAACTTAATTTAAATTGTAAAGTCATTGCAGTATGTATTGCTTAATTTTGTTTGTCACCGTTTAAAGGCCCAAATTATAGATATTCAGCGGCTACTGGAAATAACAAAATGCACCATATTTAGCGTCCAGTGAAAACTACTTGAACACAAGAGTTATGGTGTAGTCTTAATGTCAATATTAATTAATTTTATACTATTATGTTGATTTTTATACGAATTCACTTCAAGTAATAAGAGTTGTGCAGATATATAATAAATGTGATAATAGCTAGAAATAGTGTCTCTCTGTAGGTGGTTAAGACGTGCTGTAAAAAATGTATCGATGTTTCGAATTTCTAGATTCCAACTAAACGTAAACTTATAATTATCTTATAATGTCGAAAACCGATTTATAACAAAACCGTTATGCTTTCAGGGGATTTTGGTTCCTTATTACAAAAAAAAGATTAAGCTAGCGTAGGTTTGTTTTGCAAAATTCCTAAAATAACCTAAAAAAATACATTTGGGATTACAAAAATTCATGCAAACATTATTTCGGGCAAATGTATTTTCGGACTTCTGATTGATAACTTGAAACAGTAAAACGAATACAACAATATTGTGGTAGTTATTTAATACTAACATTTAGTAAAAAATCTTTTTAAAAATAAGATTAACATTAATGATGATAAGAACGGTCCAAAGTACAGAGTGTCAAGCTTG